CCCTTAACTAACCTTAACTCTTCCGCAGTCGTCTCCACTCAAAACAGTTCCTTTGAAGAATGATACATGCACAAAATGTTTCTTTAGCAGTGACTGCAACTCTGCATCTGGCAAGAAACTGAAGTAATGCAAAAATGGCTTTATTTACACACTGTTTTCCTCAACTAAATATAAAAGGCTACCAGAAGTTTAATTATTTTGTACTAATCATAAATTCTAAATGATGCAGATTATGTTGATAAGGCTCAAGGTGGAATAACCTATTACCTCATAGAAAGAAGAATACCTTGGGGCAGAGGAAAGTGGCCATTGTATAGAGGTGGCCGTTTGTACAGGTTCAACTGTAGTCTAATGGTTTTAGTAAGCTAAAGATTGCTTTAGACCGCATGCAAAACAGTCATTTTTTTGTTTCATTCAAGGTAACACTAGCACAATTGATCCTTTCGCACATTCAAAGCACACACAAAAACTGCATTTTGTTCGCCAGAAATAAGTCAACTATTTTGATACCAAGGATTGCTCAGGCAGATTTGTAAAATATCAATAAGGTTTCCGAAAACAGAACACAATTTTTTTATTCTTTACCGAGAAATGCATTGAGGATTATAATGTATCTCTGCAGAAAAAAGAGCCTGACATGGGTTGTGTCCTGGTGTACCGGTACACAGAGGGAATAACCATTGTACTCCTTTCTTTACGAACCTTTGTTTAGTTGTTGAACATTGTTGGATCTTTTGTATCCAGTTCTTGTGAACCGGTACACGAGGACAGAACCTTGCTGACATGTTTCTGCTCTAGAGGCCATTTGTTTTGCTTTAAACAAAGACAAAAAGTACTTCAATCTACTAATCAAATCTTGAATAAGTCTATACTCACTTGGCCATGATGACCACATTCACCGCAGTTTCAGATCGATCTTTATGAAGAAAATCCCTCAAGAATGTCTCCACACTCTGCTTTGTGATATATCCACAAAGAATGATATGCCTGGAATTATCAGAACAATGTTTATTAATTTAAAATATTTCTATACTGTAATTAACAAAGTCTGTTGCTGATCAATATTAGAACGTCATAAATCCAAGATTCTACATGTAAGTCATTTTAATTACTGGTAATGGCCCTCTTTGTACCGTTCAACGTTAACATAACTGCCAATCATCACACACTACTGACATGTATGGCCTGCACATTGAAAATGTCAATCACATGCATACATGGCAGTTCCACGTGCATGACTCTGGACTACTTGTTCAGTAACCATTACATAAACATGAAAATTGATTTCAACTTCCGGTGAACTGCTCTAAATGTCAAGTTTGAGTACTACAGTAAATTATAGCAAGCTTAAAGCTTGTGTTTCAGTTCGAGGGCCTGCACACAAACTTGTGATCGTATGATGTGACTTATTAGTGATGCATTAATGGAAAATCATTGGGAATCTTCGGCAATGTTCAAAAGCTGTTAGAACATCTGTAGTAATCTCCAGAAATCTTCAGATTTTTCTTTGGAAATTTGGATAATATGGATATGAAAATCACATAATTATATTTGAATTCGGAAAAGTTGACAGGTATACTACATAAAATTAATTAATCAATCAATAAAAAAATAACATAAACACTAAGTAATACAACTGTAAATTAAAGGCAGAAAACAAATATTCTGCAAGGTCTTACTTTCTCCCTTCTGGTAAATTGTATGATCCATGGTAAATTGTGTGAGAACTTATATATTCCAAGATGGCTGGAATGTATGTGGCAAACATACCCTGGACAACAAGACAAGAAGAAATATTAAGTCATCACCTTACACAGCTGTGATGTCAACACTAAGCTGGCAAACAGTGTTGGGGTTTATTTTGGTTACTGCTGGGACAGCATGAAGCATCTAGGATAACATTTATTTGTACTTCACAAAGGGGAGTTGAAGGGGATGTTGAGCATGCAAAATATTGCAAATCAGGGCTCCCTAATGACACTTTGTCAGTCTTCCCTAACAGATCCCTAGCAGGAGAGTAGAAATAAGCCTCTTGAGTTGCCTCTAGAGTCAACAGACACAAATAGAATAAGCTACATCAGTATGGGACACTTAAATTGGCCCAGCTGAATATAGACTTGAAAGGGTACGGAATGAGGAATGAGCACAAATTTAAAGCATTATTCTATCATGATTGCTGCTATCTGATTTGCTACACCACACATCTATTCTGTTGTAGATGGTGAGCAGCATAGGCATGTGCGGTTGTTAACAATATGTCAGCCACTTTTTCCAAAATTCTCTGAAGAGGATTTTTATAACAAGAATTTCCAACAACTGGTAGACTTTCACTAAGTAAAAACAACTAGATTATTCATTCTCAATTTCTATATGTGATGGAAATCTCAGACAAGCTCATTTAATGTTATTGTTAAGTGTTACATTGTAATTAACTCCAAATTTCACATACCAGTCCAATGGAGATAAATATTATCATAAAAACTCTTCCAAAATATGTCACCGCAGATATATCCCCAAAACCTACTGTAGACATGGTTACCTGTCAGTCAACAGAAATCAATGTCAGTCAATATTATATTA